ATGGATGGATGGATGGATGATGCCTCCTTTTGTAGCAGGAACTCCTTTGCACATTAGACGACACCCCCCCTAATGTAGCCAATCCTCCAAGAGCTTACAGTAGCCCCTGTAAGAAGAGCTCTGAAAGCTCTTGGAGAATTAGTTGCATTAGGGGTGTGTCGCCTAATATGCAAAGGAGTTCCTGCCAGTGTTCCCTCTAAGCTGAGTTAGTGTGAGCTAGCTCTCAGTTTTTTAGCTTCCAGCTCACACATTTTTGTCTTCGCTCAGGAAGGAGGGCTCTAGAGCGAACTAATTGATGCAGTAGCCGAATCGCTCACTCACAACTTTAATGCCAGTAGCTCCCAAAGTAGAATTTTTGCTCACAAGACTCCACAGTTTAGAGGGAGCGTTGGTTCCTGCTACAAAAAGAGCCCTGCTGGCAATACTAATACTACTTGGCATAAATTATAGAGTTTCACGTGTGCTAAAGGATTCCCACTGGGCGTTACTGCTCGATTCAAGGCCAGCAGCACCATAGAGACCAACAACATTTTCAGGGTATGAGCCTTCTGATGAAGGGACCTTTGACTCTTGAAAACTCATACCCCCAAAATCTTGTTGGTCTTGAAGGTGATACTGGATTCAAATCTAGCTGTTTTACTGTAGACCACCATGGCTACCCTCTAAGATGATCTCCACTGGCCACTGGTTCACTTCTGGGATCAATCCAAAGTATGTCTGGGACAAGGAGGCTTAAAGGATCCAAGTGGACTTGCCAGATTACTGAAGCCCTGCTCTGTGGGCCACAGGATGGCCTTTTTCAGTGGTGGGGTCTCAGTTATGGAGCATCCTCCTTGCAATTATGTTATGATCTGATGCTGGCACTTTTTTATTGTGTAGACTGCTTCAAGACCCAACTACTGTAAAATGTGCTATGCATGGGGCTGCCCTTGAACGTGACTTGGAAAGTTCAGTTAGTCCAGAACATGGTTGCTCATCTTGTATCTCAGACAAGTCATTTCCAGCATATTAGACCTAACCGGGAGTGATTTCATTGGCTTCTGGTTTGGTTCTGGGATTAGTTTAAGGCCCTTCCCAGCCTCAGACCCACCTATCTGAAGGTCTCCTCTCCCTGCACCACTGAACGACACAACCTCCAGGGGACTTGGCTGGGGATTTTCAGATTCTTTCAAAGAGGCTGTCACCAGAAGCAAGGACTTTCCTGTCCCTTTTGGACTTGCTCGAAAGCCAGTTGAATCCAACTCTAGGATTGCAGTGCTCATCTCTGTTTCCAAGCCGAAAAGCCAGCGCTGTCCGGAGATGTTTCCCATGGCCATGTGGCCGGCATGACTAAACGCCAAGGCGCACGGAACGCCGTTACCTTCCCACCGCAGCAGTACCTATTTATCTACTTGCAATTTCTTGCTTTCGAACTGCTAGGTTGGCAGGAGCTGGGGCCAGAGACAGCTCACTCCGTCATGCAGCACTTGGGTCTCGAACTGCCGACCTTCCAGTCTGCAGCTTGGTGTCTTAACCACTGAGCACAAATGACTGCACCGTTCCAGAGGGGCTTCTGCTATTTTTGCTGCTCTCTTGAGTTGAACAGAGGCACAGATTGCTGTTGTGCGGGTTATTACTCTCGTGTGTAATGCTCGAGTCTAGTGCATTATGGTGTTAAGTTTGTGTGGCAGAATTCTGGATTAAGGGAGACTCGGCCATTTATGTATAAGGTATATTGAATAGCTGTCGCAAAAGCAGACTTTGGTTTCTTCCCATGAAGCACTGCGGTTATGTCCAACGCCTGCTTCCTATTTGCAAAGCAGGGCCTGGCTGTGAACACCAAGAGCCCTTCCCCCACACAGAGCTCACATTCCTTGAGCCAAAATGCACTCTGCCTCAAGGCTGAATCTCTAGAGATCATGGTGGTCAGAACTCTCCTGCTCTGGCCAGAGACTTTGGCCTGACGAATAGCCCTTGAGGAGGCAAAGCTTACGGCTTTATGGTGCCATCAAAGGGAAGGGTTAGGCTACTGGCGAGCTCATGCCATTCCCATGGGATGGTTGATGTATGTCTTTCATTATTTATTTATTTATTTATCTATTATTGTGGGATGGTTGATGTATGTCTTTCATTATCTTGCAAGAAGGTATAAATATTGCCTTGTTTCTTTGTACGGGGCCACCTCCAGATTGCTCATCTGAAGCACTCTGCTGGCGGCCAGGGATACATCTCTTTACACTGTTTCATGTTTTGAGTTTTTCTGTTACTCTGCTTAAGGTTCAATAAAATAAGATTGTAGTGCATGCTTGGTGTCCTGCCACATGCATCCCATCCAGCCCAGTGAACCTCAGTGCAGCTGGTACCCCGGGGGGAAGACTGGTGACCAGGCATAACGCTTTCTTTTTCTGCAACTGTTTGTTTGTTGTTATCATTTATATATGAAATTGCCAACACTTTGGCACAGTGCCCTCGGGCTTACTGCGCAGAGAAGGGCAGTTAACAAATACTTTCAGTAAAAAAATAAAACATGAATACACTCTGATTTCCGTTAGCTGTCTCAAGTACTTTTCGGAGGGCAAGCCAGATAAAAAGGATGAAAGTAACTGAATAAAACAGGGCTCGAGTTAGGGAGTAAGGAACTGGTCCCAGGGTGAGGCAGTCTTGCCAAGTGGGAAGGCACCTCTTTTCGGCGGCCAGCCAAGCAGCTAAATCGCCTTGTGCCAAAGACACCAGGGGAGGGGGCTGCCCAGACGGAACCTGGAACAGCCCCCCTCTCAGGGGACCAGGGAAGCAGCTGCAAGCTGTAGCCACAGAAAACAGAATGAGAATCGAATGTCCCCGCTAACAAGGAAAAAAACCTACTTGTGTCATTCATCTGCCACAAGATGCATCAGGTGGAGAATAAATGTCTATGTGATTACATTTCATGAACACGGGCACAGACTCCCCACAAGCAGCCCTGACAACTGATTTGATGGGCAGCTTCAAGGAGGAGCTGTGGCTCAGTGGTCGAGCATTGGCCTGGTACGCAGAAGGTCCCAGGTTCAACTCCCAGCATCTCCAGAGAAAAGGATCGGGTAGTGGGTGAAGTGCTTGGGAGAGCTGCTGCCAGTCCTGAGTGGACAACACTGACTTCGATAGAGCAAAGGTCTGGTTCGGCATAAGGCAGCTTCGTTTGTTCTTTATCCTGCGGGGCTTATTACAGTTCCGCAGGGCCTGCAAGACGGAGCTCTTCCGCCAGGCCTTAACTGAGACAGAGGGCGTCCATTCTGATTAGCCCCCCCCTCGCCTGGGAGCCAGACTGGGACCACACTGTCTGCCCTTGAGGCATGTCCCTGTTTAAACATTGATGATTTTATAGATTTTGATTACTGTTAAGATGTTTAAAATTGTAGATTTGCATAAATTGCAGAGGGGTGTGCATGTGTGTGGGGGTAACCGCCCATAGCCTACAAATGTGGGGAGGGCGGGATAGAAGTTGAAATAAATAAATACATGGCCTGCCATGCGTGTGGTATGGGTTCCGTTCCTGCCTCTGCCTTCTGTTCTGCTGCTAGGATTGTGGCGGGCAGGGGTCATTTCCTGCGGGAGCGCACAGGAGCAGAACTCCAGCAGTAAAGCACACAGGGAGTGTGGCCCCACCCCCTGCTCCCAGCAGCCTTCATTCAGGCCACGAGGAGCAAGAAGCAGCTAGGTAAGTTGCAGAGCCCCTCCCCCCCGGCCTGCCTTCAGGTACAAGCTCTCCCTCCTCTGTGAGGACAGATCTGCGCGTTTCCCCCCACACACACATAGCTAGCAATCCAAAACAGTCCAGTGGCACCTTTAAGACCAAGTTTTATTCAGGTACAAGCTCTCCCTCCTCTGCGAGGACAGAGCTGCACGTCCCCTCCCCCATAGCTAGCAATCCAAAAGAGTCCAGTGGAGCCTGAGCGGTGGGTGTTGCCTTCTGACACACTTCCGGTGATGCCAGGGTGTGTGGCATACGCAAATAAGTTGTGCTAATAAGTTGTGCTAATGAGCTCCTGCACCTCTTTTTCTATGAAATGACCCCTGGTAGCGGGTAACATCAGGGGAAGGCCTCGGCCTCTCTGCCCTGTTGTTGGAACTCCAGAGGAAGCGGTTGCCCGGGCGGTGTGAGACAGGATGCGGGACTGGAGGGGCCGCTGGCCTGATCTCTTCTGATGTTCCTTTCTTTATTCCCAGTCTTATTCCCTTGGCAGAATTTGTCAGGCGGGGCCTTTTCCCCAATGAGATACTGAGGAGATACTAAGAATGCCTTCTGTCTACATTCCGGGGTGTGCTCTCTGGGTGCTGCCTCCCCCTTGCCTTGCCAGGAGCTGTTCCTCGGGGCATTCCTCCTCCCCTCCCTCCCTCCGGGACCTCAGTTCTTGCTTGGGAGGGGCCGTGGTCCTTGGGTCAGGGTTTCCTCTCCCAGGTGGGCTGGGCCAAGCGACCACGGCTCCTTCCCTGCCTGTCAAAAGGGAGCTTGTTTGCAGGAAAGCCCCACGTGTGCCACTCCCAAAGAAGCAGTAGGTGCAGGTTAAGAGAGAAGTCCAGCAGCACCCGAAAGACTAACATCACGTCTCCCAGCAGGAGCTTTCGTGAGTCAGAGGGCTTGCTGTGTCAGGTGCAGGGCCCCCGCCGGGCAAAGCGGTAGGAGCTCCTGAGCAAACCAAAGGCAAGCAAGGACAAACGACCGGACCCACGCTCTACAGCAATTCAGCGCTCTCCCTGTTGGAAAGTCTGCAACATCCTTACCTGCACTGCACGGAGCATTGTATTCAGCAACCGCATAGTCATCTGGGGGGGGGAGAGAAGAATGGCTTTTCAGGGACAGGAGGAGCCCCAACACGGCACGTTTTCAACGACCCACCCCCACCCCTGCGGGGACCTGCCATGTGATCAGGGCCAAATCACACGTGAAGCCACACAGGAAAAACCCCTTGGGAGCTCATTCATGGGACTCACCCCCCCCCCAATATAATCTGTCCCACTGTGTCTGTTCAGGGCAAAGCAGGCAGATTTCCACAGTGTCACCTTGACACTGATGCTGGGTGGCAGTGATCCTTGTGAAAACCAATCATTCCTTCATTGGGAATGGGGGGGGGGAATCGATAATGTGGTGGGAGGGGCAAGCCGTGTATCTCCCCGATGCTTGGGACAGGGACCGCTGCCCAGGCCCCAGATATCTATCTATCTATCTATCTATCTATCTATCTATCTATCTATCTATCTATCTATGAATGTGTGTTGTCAGAGGCTCAGCACTTGCCAAAGCTAACAAGCTGAAGGAAGTCCTTTCGGCAGGCATATTAGCAGCACTGAATGAGATGTACTGATACACACACACAGTGCGACTCAGTTGTGACCAATGGCATCTTCGAACCCATCCAGATGGCACTGCTGTTCATAGAACAAGCTCAGAAGGGTCAGAATAAAAGAGATCTTACGGCAGAGCTCTGCGAGGAGCCGATTGCAAAGGCACTGGAGATACAAACGAAGACTGCGGGACTGCGGGGCATTAGCAGGGCTGTGTGCAAACAGGGGTGGTGAACAGTGAGGCCGTTCCACCGTTCCACCAGTGAGACGCTGACCTGGGTGGTAGTAATCGTAGACCTTGACTGCCACTGGCTTCAGGTCTCTCACGTCAAATTCTTGTTCCACCGAGAAGAAATAGTGTTGCTCGTCACTATCCAGCTGAAGAGGGAGAGAAACAGCTCGATTCAGGCCCAGCAGCACCTTAGAGACCCATGCGCTTTTGAGATTCAAAGCGCTCCTTGTCCGATACTCTTTGGTCCTTTCCACATTTGCCTGCCACCCTGGATTTTCTCAGACCGATTTCACACAAGAGCTGCGCTGCGGTCGCACCTCCCTTTGCCCCACTTCTATTGGCCAATTTCCCACTCAAAGCCGCGGGGCCGCGTTTTGACCCACGGCTTCGCCCAATTTTCCCAGCGGTTTCGTGATCCTCTTTTTTGTGTGACCGGGCAAAATCCAGTTGAGAACTGGACTGAAAGTGGATTGAAAGTGGATTATGTGTGGCCGCAGCCTTAGGCCCATTCTGCACCTAGCATTCGCTCTGCTGTTTTACCAAACCTACATTGGAACAGACATTCCCCTCTGCATTTCGTGCCACTTTCACTTTCTTTGATTGTCGGATTTTATGCTACCCTCCACATTGCATGCCGGTTTCACTTCCTTTGATCTCTCGGTTTTATGGTAGCCATCTGCATAGATTTATGGCTGTTTTATGGCCGTTCACAACTCTGCAGTCATTACAGCATTGCCCCGTTAGCCTGAGGTATCTGAATGTGGTTTTGAGCTGCATCTTTTTCTGTTCCAGTGTGGGTTTGGTAAGACAACGGAGCAAATGCTAGATGCAGAATGGGCCTCAGTCGGAGTGGGGAAAGTTTTCAGCCGGGATTCTCTGGTCCCCTTTCTGCAGTCAGCAACTCACAAACCACATCCAATACTCCTCGTTCCCCCAATGGACAGGTCTGCTGAATGAATGTCCTTGTCCCAGACCCCAGTTTTAGTCGAGAGGGCAGAGACCTGCGTGGCCCTCACCTCATCCAGGTAGATGCTGACCGCGTCAGGTTCAATTTCCACCTTTTTCACTAGAGGCTTCTCTAGTAGCTGTTGGGATGGAGAAGAGATAAGTATATAAACATGCACTGTGAATATGGAAAAAGACTTCTGGATCACACCAGCTGTGGTCTGTTCCCTGGTAAATGTAGAGGCAGTTGGTGTCCCCAAAATCAAGTCCATCGATTTCTGTGAAAGAACGTTTTCAACATTCCGATGTATTTCCCCACACAGAATGAGGGAAGGCTTTAGCATTGTGAGGAACTAAATATTCACACCTGTCGTATTCCACAAAGGCAAGAAAACCTGCAGATAAACAAATAGGGGTACTTTCTCTGGCGGCACAGAGGCTCACAGGCAACTATGGGAAAGGTGGTGCTTCTTAGCGAGGATATAAAATTGGGGACTTAGAAAACTTCAAGAAGTAAAGGACTAATGCACTGGCCAAGGAACACAGCATTGGCAGGCATATTCAGTGTGGCACATTTATGAGACTCTGCAGAAGAACTGCCTTTGAGCACCTAGTGGAGAAAATGATACCCCCATCTGCTGGGGGTGGTGACAATAAAAAATAAATATTAAATGTATTTATTTAAAATATTTATTAGCCTCCTTTGTCTTCAAACACAGTCCAAAATAAAACCTAAAGAAGGGAAGTGAGGGGGGCCAGGCGCACCTCCCTGGGGTGGCTGTTCCGTAATTGCGGGGCCGCCACCGAAGAGGCCCTCCCTCTTGTGCCCACTGGATGAGATTCTTTGGTTGGTGGGACAGTGAGGAGGGCCCCTACCCGTGATCTTGATTCCTGGGCAAGAACGTGCAGGAGAAGAGGGTCCTTCACAGACCCAAGTCCCAAGCCAGGTAGGGCTTTCAAGGTCTGGTTTTCTAAGGTGAGACTGCTGTGTTGAGTAGCGCTCCCAAGCTGGCTTTTCAAGGGGAGTATAGCCCCATCCAAGACAAGAGAGATCTGAAGTTCTTGGTCTGCCTTTCTACTAACCCAAAGAACTTCTGCCTTGTCAGCAGGGGTCATTTCCTACCAGAGCGCCCTGGAGCGGCACTCCAGCAGTAAGGAGCCCGGGCTCCGCCCCCCATGGGGGAATTAAATGCCTGGCTTCCCAGCTCGATTGGGGCACCTGGAGAAGATCGGGCAGGGAGGCCAGGCATGTCTGCCCGCCTCCCCTTCCTTCTCCAACCAGCCCGCCACAGTGGCACGATCTTTCTTTTGTATTCTATGGGGCCATAGAATACAATGGAAAAATCGTGCCGCTTCTGCGGTGCAGCTACAGAGAGAAGGGGTTTAAACTTAAAACCCCTTCTCTCTTCACTTCCCCCCCGCTTTGGCAGGCCTGCTGCGGAAGGGAAGGGGAGGCTTTTGAAGATGCCTCCCCCCCTTTTTTGCTTCCCCTTCTGACATCACTTCTATGCTAATGACTTATAGGTATGCTAATGAGCTCATGTACCTCGTGGGATATGCTAATGAGTTATAGGTATGCTAATGAGCTCATGTACCTCTTTTTCTACGAAATGACCCCTGCTTGTCAGGATTAAGTTGTACCAGGCCCCTCCCCACCACCAACAACCAAAAAACCCCCAGTGAAACTCAAGATGTGTCAGTGAAAGGGACCGGTAGCAAAATTTAACTGATAACCAATTATCTGACCCTCTTCACAGATGTCTTCACGGGGATGTATCCTGAGAGCATGTTCACTTCCAACAGGACCATGTTGCTTCTCTCCCGCTGTCCTGAGTAGCTGCGGAAAGAAGGAAGGCCGGTGTCAAAGGAAGGCCAAGGGAGCCAACGGTTCAAATCACATTCTCGATCCCAGGCAAAAAGGGAGAGAACATAAGAGAAGCTGCATTGGATCAGGCCAGTGGCCCATCCAGTCCAACACTCTGGGTCACACAGTGGCCAAAAATACCAGGGGCCCTCAGGAGGTCCAGCAGTGGGGCCAGGACACTAGAAGCCCTCCCACTGTTGCCCCCCCCCAAGCACCAAGAACACAGAGCATCCCTTGCCCCAGACCGAGAGTTCCTGTCTATACCTTGTGGCTAATAGCCACTGATGGACCTCCGCTCCATATGCCTGTCTAATTCATTCTTGAAGCCTGCACAGGACCCCTGTAAGGAACCCCTCCTCAGGACAAGGACACCAACAGGCATGATGAAACCCTACTGAGGTAACCAAGGGGTTGCCCCCCACCTCAAAATGGGACTGCCTCAACTCTTTGCCTGCCCCTTGCCTCAGCAGTCCTGATGCCCAAAACGCCGACAAGCAGTAAGTGTGCAGTGGGGGGGAAGGGGGGAGTAGGGCTACCAGGCCAGTATAAGACACCTTTGTGTGTTCAGGGAATACCCCTTACAGTTGCCTCTGCTGAGTGAGCCACAGAAGTATGAGAACACAACAGCTGGTGTCATGGATATGGCCAGGAACAGAGGTGAGCACTTGCTGTTCTTGACTAAAAACATCAAGAAGGAGGAAACAGGACTGGCCTGGTCTGTCAGCTCCAGATATCCCCAGATCAATTCTCCACTATAGCCTATGGGGCCCATTGATTATAATGGTCCCTATAGGCTACAATGGAGCTGTCCACAAGGCATTTCCCCTCTCTATTGAGAACAATGGGGAATGGGGCACCTCCTTCTGGGGCCCATAGAATTGGACTCCCTGGTCCAATTCTATGGGGGGGGTTTGGAAGAGAGGCACCAGCAGCTATGCTGCAAATTGGGTGCCTTTGCCTAAGAAAAAAGCCCCCCTGAGCCCCAGATACCGCCGGATCGATTCTCAATTATAGCCTATGGGGCTCATTGACTATAATGGTCCCCATAAGTATTTATTTATTATATTGTTTATTGTTTATATTTATATCCCGCCTTTCCAGATATCTGGCTCAAGGTGGCTAACAACATTAAAATGGCATAAACAACCAAATTAAAACAATTAATACCATACCAGTTAAAACAACACCAGTTGCAATTATCCCAACAGAAATGGCGGTAATCCCATCCAACGATAGGGGTACCATCCAGCAGAATCTCAGGTCCGAGGGTGTTCTAAAATTTCAGACCAGACGATGTTCCAGGGCACACTCATCAGTGGCAGCCCCTAATTGAAAGCCTGGTGGAAGAGCTCCGTTTTACAGGCCCTGTGGAACTGTAAAAGTTCCCGCAGGGCCCTGATGTTCTCCGGGAGCTCATTCCACCAGGTTGGGGCCGCCACTGAGAAAGTTAGAATGGTTAGAATGAAGCTGGGAAAAATGATTTTTTTGCACACCCCTGTTATGCTTTTCAGTATGATTTGTAAGCTGCCTTGAGTCACAGGGAAAAGTGGGATATAAATCTCCCTTATATATAAAAGCCGAATGGTGGTGGCACTTCTCTAGAACATTCCACACGCTCCGGAATTGGTTGGTGCCCTGGTGTGTCACTCAGAATCTGTCCCTATCTACTGGCTGCATTGCTTGAGTCTTGCCTCCAACATTCTAAACAGTCTGCTGTTCTGAGGTAAAAAGTGTCCAATCTCCAGGTGAGGGCTGGAGATCATTCAGAATTGCAACTGCTTTCCAGATGGCAGAGATCAGTTCCCCTGGAGAAAATGGTGGGCTCTATATCCTTATATGCTGCTGAGGTGGCCCCCGTATGACAGCCAATGTGACGTAGCAGTCAGGGCTTCAGAGCACGGGAGAGGCTGCAGGTGTGTGTGGGGTGGAAAGCTGAAGAGTGAGGGGGAAATAAAGGTAAGTTGATGATTGGCTGGAATGAGATAGGGTTGCCAACTCCAGGTGGGAAATTCCTGGAGATGTGAGGGATGGAGTCTGGAGAGGGTGAGGTTTTAGGAGGCGTGAGACCTCGGACAGGTACAAAGCCATAGTATCCACCATCCAAACCAATCATTCCCTTCTGGGGAAAAACAGATTGCTTACCTGTAACTGATGATCTTCGAGTGCATTCACACCCATGGGATCTAGCGCGCATGCGCTGGATCGCTCGGCATTGTAGC